AGCAGAACCGTCTGGAAAATGATCTATAGGAAATAGTACAGCTTATAAAATGAGTCAGGTCAACGTAGGCCGGTAAGGCAATCACTGATTGGCGTGTCCTTTAGCCAATCACGAAATGTCACAGACCTACTGAAGGATGTGTAGATTGTATAGGAATTCTTTTTGGCGGCAAAGGACAGGTTTATGTGTTTTAATAAAGGTGGCTTCATCTCCTCTGAAAACCTTATGACACATTTCTTAGTTTGATGGTTTCGTAATAAAACAGGAAATCTCGTGATTATGCTTAGTAAGGGATTAAAATATATGGATTTTCACGTTATTTTTCGTGTAATAAATACATACTTATTGTTTTTATGGGATAAATCATTATATCTTAGCTTCAATATAACTAAAAAGAAATTACATTTCATAAGGGAGACTTTATAAGTTATAAAATATTTTTAAAAACTCAAATAATATTTAGAGCATTGGTTTAAAACCTAGAAATTTTACCAATTTAAAAGCGATCAAACTTTCCGGATAAAAACTTATTAGAAGCTTTGATTATATCTTGATTATTCTTATGTTAAAGGTCCTCTTACCATGTTGGGTGGTGTTGAGGGACTTGGATTCATAAAGACTGAGTTCAGTAACAGCTCTGATGACTATCCTGATGCGGAGATTCATTTCATCTCCAGCAGTCCCTCTTCTGACGGGGGTAAAACTATACGGAGAGTACAGGGAGTAGGAGAAAGGGTAAGTTCAAGAATAAAACAAAATGGATAGAGAAAGATGTAAAGGAAGAAGCTTGTTCTAGTTACATAGGAAGGTGTTGATTTAGGAATTCTGGGGGCTCTATAATATAAATAGAAGACAAAATTCAGCTATAAAGTGAAGGCAATATTGTCCAGAACGTGGAAGAAAGTTGAAATTCAACCAAATACTCAAAGTAAGATTAGCCAGTGTGTTGAATAAATTTGAAATTCAACAAACAGTGAAAGCAAGATTGTCTAGTGCAATGAACAAAGTTGAAATTCAACCAAATACTCAAAGTAAGATTGTCCAGTGTATTGAATAAATTTGAAATCTAACGGTAAAAGGAAGATTGTCTAGTGTATCAAAGAAAATTTAATCAAAGGCTGAAAGCAAGATTGTCCAAAGTACGGTTTTATTTTAGAGTAAAGCTACCTGCTGTGTCCACTGTGTAGACTTACCACTATCCCACTAGGGGACCCAAAGTACGGAATGAAATAGCAGTTTTAACAAAAAAAAACAAAAATAGAGAAAGATTGCCAATAATACAGAAGAAAGTTGAAATTCATCCTAACAAAGTAAGATTTTCCATTAAATTGAAAACGTCTCTCAATGAGTCATTAGTAAGTTTGAGACCTCAGAGTGCTAAGATCTGGTGTTTAATTACCGGTGGTAAACAGAATACAGATGATGTCCCGTTGTGTAGCTTTGCACTACTAAAAATCAAGCCTCCTTTTTCAGAATGTATTATACCAACTTTATTTGTTTTAGTTATGGAAAGAGTTTTACAACCGCTACTTCTTCACCGTTTAATAAACCATAAACTAACTTTTGTTTATTTTTTAACTATGGAAGCATGTGTAACCTCTACTTCTTTAGGATTTAATGCACCATATTTTGTTTATTGGGTTAAGTTATAGAAATAGGTTTACAACTTCTACTTCTTTACGGTGTAATGAACCATATTTTGTTTACTCGTTTAACCTTTAGAAACAGGTTTACAACTTCTACTACTTCAGGGTGTAATGCACCATATTTTGTTTACGTGTTTAACCTTTAAAAACAGGTTTACTTACAACTTCTACTTCTTCAGGGTGTAATGCACCATATTTTGTTTACGTGTTTAACCTTTAAAAACAGGTTTACTTACAACTTCTACTTCTTCATGGTGTAATGCACCATATTTTGTTTACGTGTTTAACCTTTAAAAACAGGTTTACTTACAACTTCTACTTCTTCATGGTGTAATGTACCATCTTTTGTTTATTTGTTTAACCTTTAGAAACAGGTTTAGAATTTCTACTTTTTCAGGATATATTCCACTAAATTCTACTTAAAATTTTAGTTATGGAAACAGGTGTACGAGCCCTATTTGTACAGAGACTCCTTCTCCATGTATCCGGTGTTACTAAGACCGAAAAGTAGGGGTTACGTCAAGCTACGATCCACAGACCCACACGATCCTCCTGTTATCAACCCTCGTTACCTGACCCATCCAAACGACATTAGAACTTTAGTTGAGGGTATGTATTGAACAGAACCTGGTCTGTTACAAAAGTTCTGTACAGAAAAATGTTTATGTTCTGCAACACAGTCAGAGGTTTCTCGCTTTATTGGACATATTATTGTTTTATTTTGATATTTCTTTTGTAAGATGTGGTGGAAGAATAGAGGGGGAAACAGATTCACGAAACAGGCAATGTTTGCAGACGTAACTGCTCACAATTTTTAACAGCTACCATTGGAACTTGCCAGTAAGGAGGTAAAGAGCAGGTTTACACAATACCACAAAAGAACGAAAATATTATCTGTATCGTTGTTTTTTAGGGATCTATATCATAAAAAACATTATGATAAGTATTTATTTTGTTTCTTTTTTTTTGAAATATCAGTGCACGGTGTCTTTTGATGCTCGGAAGGAACGTCCACATTCTTTGGACCAAAATTATGAAAAGTGTCCTCTATAACTAAAGTCAGAAATATAAATGAATTAACTTTATTACCCACATATATATATATATACCCGTCCCCAGTGACGGGAAAAGTATAAGTTAATCTATCAGTTTAAATTATTTCATGGATCTTGAAAAAGGTTAATTGTGTTACACTCTTGGTTTCACTCAGAGCCAAAGTTCTGAGCTACTTATACCGCCCACCGCGAGAAGTAATTGTTGAGAGTTTCAGTCATGCTAAGAGCTGCTCAACAATAACATACGGTAAATCTACATTTTTTATTCTTTAAGTTACGTCACATTTTGAAATGTGAATGATAGTGTGATTAATTCCTAACAATTTAGTGTAGAATATCCTGCTTGCTAAATAAAATTTGGTATCAACATTATTCATACATGTTCTCCCGTCATTTCAAAAGTGAATGTTGAGATTTGCCTGCGTGCGTAGCTTTTTAAACGGGAGACAGATGAACACTCGGACAGACGCCACGGTTTGCAATATATATAAGATATGTGTGTGTGAACTGATCATATTGTATATTAAAATTTTAGAGGTTCTAGCTTCTAATTATAATGTGAATCTATGACGTTCTTCCTGATTATCAGTCATACGGACTGTCAGTAAAGTTTCACACTAGTTTTCTATATTGTGTTGTTTGTGTTTTTGACATACTTTTGTTTACCTGAAGTAACAAAAAATTTTTCTCTTTTACAACCTTAATCCGTGGTGATAAAAACTGGATTTCCACAAATATAAGAACACTAAAACCATGTATATCTCATTAAGACTTGCTTTGTGACTGAATTATGATAAATATATAAATGCTGAGCAAAATAGTAACTAGAATTATATTTTGTTTTAATTTTTATCATAAGAGAAAGTCATGCCATCGGCATTTTGAATAAGCAATGCCCTCTTAGTACTTAGATCTCATTTTTTGTTCATCTTGATTTGATATGGTAACATTTCAGGATCAGTTTTAAGTACCTTTTGGTTTTTGTGTTATTTTATTTTTAATGTTAATATAATCGTAACGATGAGAAATGTCTGACACCGTCTTTACAATCAATGTCCTGCAGCTTGTTTGAAAGTATTTACGAAATTAATGTCACGAATAAAATAGTCCATGTAACGAGATTCAAGATAATTATGTTTCTAATTATTCTAGCGATGAAGATTAGCATTGATGTGGGCCAGTCGGAACCGTTCAGGCAATTCAAGGCTAAAATGTTTGAAACAGTATTCCCAGGTTGCGAGAGATTCCGTGTTTTAAGCGACAGATACTTAGAATGTGTCGCACGTACCTATACAATCACCATCTACCACCCAGTAGGAACATGCAAGATGGGAGACCCATCTGATCCAAGCACAGTAGTTGACTCTGAATTGAGGTGATTCATTATTAAGTAATGGGGCTGAAGGAATTTTTGGAGTGTGCTGTACGAAACTGTTACAGAGTATTCACAAAGTACTTTAGACATTCTGAACCATTTTATCACGACTTTTGTATAATTGGACACAACAAGAAAATAAAACGCAACTTCTACTTAAACTGTATATAAAACAAACGTTACTATAGAACTAAAATTTAAAATGTTTTATTTTATAAGTCCTAGTTGTTAACATTAGATCATAACGGAAAATATCTGTGTTCAAAGCACACAATGCGTTAGGAATATTCCATCTATCAGACAAAGTCCAGACGTTGATGTCAAACTAGACAGCAGATATTCAAAATCAATTAAGGGTTAGGAGTTGAGTGCTTACAATCCCAACGTCTCAACTCTTACTGCCTCTGTCTGGAGACAGTTGTGAGAAGGCAGATACCCTTAATACTAAGATACAATCTTAAAGTAGAAAGAAAACCACCCTAAACATTCTACAAGGTAACACCCCCAATCTCCACCCTTTTATTTACAAAATGATGTAAAACAGAACTAAAAACCCTTGCCTTAACAGCTCTTAAACTCCCGACCCCTGGGTCCTTTTGAAGAGTTGTTAAAGTATAACCCGGGCAAGCTGAAACAAGCCCAGCTACCTGAAGTTAGTCTTTCCGTCCAGGAATATTGAACAATTTTTTTTCTTTTTTAATTTAGTTACTTATTAGCCAAAGATAACCTTGAATAACTAACTCCACAAGGTAGTTTCAATAATCGAGAATTTACTTTTTAATATAATTTACTATTTATTATGCTTGAAGAGAGAAAGGGAAGAAGTTGGGAGTTTTACCTTGTAGAATTTTAGCGTGGCTTTATTTCTACTTGAAGGTTGTATCTTAGTATTAAGGGTATCTGCCTTCTCACATCTGTCTGCAAATTGATGCAATAGAAATTGAGATATAGATCAGGTTTGAATTTCGTGCAAAGCTACACGAAGGATACCTGCGCTAATCGTTCAGTCATTACCACCCACCACCAACTCTTGGGCTACTATTCAGCCCCCACAGCTAAAAAGTCTAGCATGTTTGGTGGGACGGCGATTCGAACCCGCGACCCTCATATTGCGAGTCGAGCGCCCTAACCACTTGGCCATGTTTATTGAGATATACCATTGTGTAAAGTAGATTGTATGATTTATCTACTAACTTGTGGTACACGTGGTTTTAAAAATGTAGGACAATAAATAATTCTTTACATTTAAGGATTAACCTACATAGATCTCAAAGTAATAAGGGTTTTCCTCATTCAATTGAAATAGATCATTTTAACAAACGTTTATTTGTTAATGTCAAAACCATTATCTTGGAAATATATATATATATATATATAATAATTATATTAACAGAAAGAGAAGAATACTTTATTTTGTAAAATAATGTAGAGGTTTGTGTGAATATCGAAAACAAACAGGTAGACAGGCCACATGATTGGTCAGCTGACACATTGACCAAAATGGTTGCGCTTTGTCTTAGCTAAAATATATAATATTTTGATGATCTAATTAGTTGAATAACCAAGTACTTCTAATGCACTATTTAAGATGCATAAATTTATATTATAATTTTAAAAATAGCATGACGCAAGTTATAGTTCTAAAAAATGAAAATATTCTACACGATGTATAACAACGTAATAGAAAAATGTTTCAACTGCAATAAATAAAAACCCTCTTTTTCTAACATATTTTGCGATTTCGTTACTCGTATAAAAAAATTCCAAGTAGTTGATTTTGTTTTATATACTTAAAATATTCAATCTACACAACAGTAGGAGCCTGGCGTGGCCTGGTGGTTATGGCGCTTGACTCGCAATCTGTAGGTCGCGGGGTCGAACTTCCATCAATGTGGTGACTTTATAATACGACGATCAATTCCACTCACTACTTCTTGGTAAAAGAGTTGGCGATTAGGGGTGTTGACTAGCTGCCTTCCTTCTAGTCTATCAATGATAAATTAGGGGTGACTAGCGCAGATAACCCTCGTGTAATTTTGCGCGAAATTCAAACCAAATACACGATATTATTGTGATTAAAAATTGGTACACTTTCATTTTGAATTGTCTACTGTGGAGCTAATACGTCTAGATAACACTAGAGACCATCTTTAACAAAATAATGTAAAAAATGTCTTTGAATCTCATAAAAATGGTATCAACTCTGTATGAAACGGATTTTTTTTATATGTCATATTATGTCTACAAAAAATATAAGTTGTATGTTAATTTAGTATTTTGTTTACTGACACCACCGCTAGATGTCGTACCGCACCGCAGGAGTTCAGAGTAGAAGTTACAAAACTGGTAAAAAAACTATTTCTCACGGATCGTTTCTCTTTGGTAATATTTATTGATTGGTTTAACTCGGTGGACATATCAAATCTTTAACGTCTTCTTTCCTACCAGAAATTCTTGAAAATAACACTTATGAATCTATACATAACTGACTTTAATAACTTGTCACAAATAACAAAAAGAATTCCACGTAAGTGGCTGTTATTTAAGTGTTTGTTTGGAATTAAGCACAAAGCTACATAATGGGCTACCTGTGCTCTGCCCATCACGGGTATCGAAACCCGATTTCTAGCGTTGTAAGTCCACAGAAATTCCGCTGTGCCACTGGGGGGGGGGGGCGTTAAAGTGAATATTTTAAAGATTTATTAAAATTATATGACACAAAACCACCACCTCATCCGTTATAAAGCCGTTCCTTATTAGAGAATGCCACTAATTATTTACTGCTTCATCGAAACTGCTTGTAGGTATAGTTTGTTTTCTATTTTACTTCGAATGATCGCAAAGTTTACAGCCCAGTATATTAACATTCTTATAACAATTAGTGTCTCGTTAAATACTTTAAATACGTGTCTGTCAACTTGCAATATATAACAAACAGGAAAGCTTTGATTCTGTATGATATTGTTTATTGTTGTGACTTTGGACTAATACTGTTTTGTGTTTTCCTTAGGGTTAAACACGTCAAAGGACTACGCGTTGTGGACGCCTCAATCATGCCCACCATAGTCTCTGGTAACACCAATGCCCCTGTAATTATGATTGCTGAGAAGGCTGCTGATTTAATAAAAGGAATCCAGATGTTCGTAACTGAAGATGGTTCTAAAAGGTGATATCACCATAGTAATGTTAAAACGAATTTTCTAGTCTGTTACCAACACACTAGAGGAAGGTCGTAAAGAAGTCTACAATTTCTGATCAATCGAATGGTTTCTTAAACGTGAGAACAAACAACGTGTGTTATGAAACACGTTCAAAGAAAGACTTATTAATGTGATATGAATAACGTGTGATTTTTCCACTGTTTGAGAAATAATGCTCTGAATTCATCACAAGAATAATAGGCTTAAACTCGAGAAAAACTGAGAGAAAGAAATACAATTGTTTTATAGTAGTCCTATTTGAATTACTATTTTAGGTGGCTTTTGAATAGACTAGTACTTGGCAGTTCAGAAAACGGACCTACTTTTCTGAGCGTAATGAAATATTCTTCTTTTCGTACTAGTCATTAGAAATTTTATCATCTTACTCCATCAAATAAAACGAAATTTCTTGTTTCGAATAATAACTTATTTTTTCAGTTTTAGTATTACTAAAAGAGAAATTCCTCTCAAACTAACAGATCGATTCGTCATTTGGAAAACAACAACAATAACAACTTATAACTAAATTTCATAATATTTACTTGAAACAAACAAAAACGGGTTTTTATGTGTTTGTTTATAATCTCATCGTATTACTCGTGATTTGTGTAACAAAAAACAGCTTAAGCCTTACCTGTATTTAAAAACAATAACAAAGAAACACACATGGAATACTTTCCAGTTATGTTTCATGAAGAACAAATACTCTGGAACACAGTGTTAGTCGTTTTTCCTATATTTAAATATATCTAAATGGCAATTCAGTAATTTTTAGTTCCTATTACATGACTAATGAAAGAAAAAAAAGGATAAATTAATTATTTTTTTCAGAAGTATTGATAATACTTAAAAATTGAAATACATAGATAATTAAAACATACATTAATTTGTAAACTTTAAGTTGTTGATTTGTGACATTCTGAATCGGCCGTATTGTAAGTATTTTTAAAAGTGAAATAATGCGTCAGTAATAAAAAATATCAACTTATAATAGCAGGTGTTTGGTCTTGGTTCATCTTCTCGATTTTTTAAGTAAATTCTCTTTACAGCAAAAAGTTAAAATGATGAGTGATTTGGGTTTTTTCAGGTATATTTTATGCAGTATAGACATCATAGAATTTTAGCTTTAATGGTCTGTTTTTTGTTTTTCTAGCGAGGTATGACGTTTCGGCTTCTATACTGAGTTCTTCGACTTGATGAAGGTATTAGTACCGAAGACGTAACGTCGTACCTCTCTAGAAACTTTCAGGAGCAGTCCATTATCGCAAATACTCTACAACGAATTTCTGTTTCACAATGGTTTTATCAATTTCAACACCCGCACACACACACGCTGATAAACTTGTAGAAATCTCGATACTAAGGAAAACGTTACTTGTTGAATTACGGGTTTTATGAAACTAAAACGACAGTTCAATTTCATACCATAGCTTTTAATTAATTTGCTAATGGTATACATCACTATTTATTACTTACACTGAAGCGGCAAGGCTATTTTATAAGGTATCTTTTAGACCAGTGGTCGGCAACCTTTTTTGATCGCGGGTCAATTATTTTTTTTGTTGAAAAATTTAG